CCCCCCCCCCCCCCCCCCCCCCCCCCACCACCCGCTGTTCCACTGCTGGTTGGCGCGGCTCTAGCGGCAAGGGTCTGTCTGCCCTTGTGCTGCGTCGTCATCGCCCTCCCCCCATCCACTCACTGCTCGCTGCCGCTAGTCCTGCAGTCGCCCGAGACCCTGGCCTATGCCATGGTTGGCTGGTCTTGCTGCCGTGAGCAGAGCACGGCAGCATGGATGGATATGTCTTTTGGTAGCCGCCGCAGCGCGTTACTGTGCTGGGATAGGTCACCGCTGTTTTTATCGGGGCACTGCGTCATTCTTTCACAACGACGATCCGAGGCGCCCCATAAACTTCTCTCCCTTTCCTTTTTTTTTACTTCTTTTGTCCAAATGTCTCGCTGTCATCGCGCTAGCAAGCCACACATTGCCCAAAAATACATATACATGCTTGCCCAGCCGGCCAAGGGCGCGGCATTGATATTTGTCTGCTCCCTTTGGGATATAGTCTGCGCAAAAGCTTCTCGACTCTCGGCTGACCTTCTCATGCACCCTGCGCAAAGTCGACCTCGCCGCTTTGGGAGTCGCCATGGCGTCTGCAAGCTCAGACTCGACAAAGGCCTGCCTGACACGGAGCCGGCCGATCACCATCGAAATGCCTGCTTCGCGCAGGATCAGGTCTCGAGACCCTCCATCGGCGCCGCTTTCGGCTCGAGGGGATCTACCTGGGTGAGTGTGTATTCATGTTCGCGCCCTGTCATTACGTCTGGCTTGTCTCTCTCGAAACCTTTCCGCCAGAATCCATCCAGAAGCTACCGCTGGACACGGTTGAGTCTTGCCACGGCAAGGCGCTTTGATGAAGCAATGCCTAACCTGGACCACAGCGGTTACTTTCCTGAGCATGAGGATCCCGAGACCCGCGTCCATCGCCCACACCCCTTCCACGCAGACACGAACGAGGCTCGACGACAGTCCATCGCCAGAGCCAACGAGGAGAGCAGCAGCCCACAAAACGATGTAAACAATAGCGAGAATGGCAGGCCGGTGTCAGCCAACGGCCCAGTATCTACCCTTCCGGCTCCGTCCTTGCCTGCTGTGACGGAGGCGCCTGCTCCTCGTCGGCATTGTAGCGCCAAGGACGCAGAGCTACCTAGCACTACCGACTTGCTCACAAACCCGCCTGCGGTACATGGCGCATATTCCTACACCATTGATCAGTCGGCCGCGACCTCCATAGCGTCTTACAACCCCACAGGGGCCGAGGACAACATGCTCCCCATGGGGAAGTACTATCCGACCAACTGGGAGAACAGAAAGCGAGCCAAGAAGGAGAAGAAGGAGCGGGAGGTCATGCTGCTGCAGGGGCAGGTAGAGCCGGGCGGTAGCACCTCGTCGAGCCGCAGCCCTCTTGGCCCGACACCGCCCTCGGACAACAGCCCCGTTGCATCAAGATCGACTTCAGCATCGGCATCGGCAGCGGCACTTGTGCCAACGCCAACAGCGGCACCGGGACCCATTAAGGCGGTGAACCCAGATGTCGCTAGAACTAGGGCAGCTGCCGCAGCGCCACCACCCATGATGGGACACAGCAGGTCGAACTCGGAGGCTAGACGCCGGCTGCAACAGTACCAGCGCGATATGATCACGCAAGCAACGATGGCAGCCTCACGGGTGCTGGGGTCGCAAATCCAGCAACGAGGGCAAGAAGACGTCTTGCAGTCGCTCAACACCATCCCTGCGCTGCGGAACCTGCAGCTTAACCCGAACCAGCGAGCCAGGAGCCGCGCGGGGCAGGCGGTGCCGTCGCTTTCTGTCTCGTCATCATCTATATCATCAGCCTCGCCCGCCTCGATTGCAAACGGTGGCGGGCTGGCTGCAATGATGGCGGCGGGCGGCTCCTTTGGCATGCTGGCCAAGCCGCTGTCCCCCCGCTTAGAGCCCCTCGGTAGTCCTGGGCCTGTCACGCCGATTGACCTCTCCCGCACGGAGGAGGCGGCCACCACTGCCGGTGGTCTGCTTGTGGTCACCAGGTCTAGGATGCCTATCGCCGTGGCCACTGCGCCTCCAGCGGTTGGCCCTCGAGTCCAGACGCACGAGAACGAGCCTTCGTTCCCCTTCGACGCCGATGGGCATTGATGATTCTGCTGGAGCATGCAACGCCCGTCTTCCGTTTAGAAACGCCCACGCCATCATCTCTCGTTTTACCATGCAGCTGACTGGTCGCCACTAGTCTTGGGGCACGGGGTCACGGCTTGATACACACGCTTTGTCCATCAGGCAGAGTGTCGCGGACTCTCATTTGCCTAGGATAGTTCCGCAGATGCCTGTCTGGATTCTCTCCTGCACACTCAACTATACAACATCTTCAAACCAACCAGGGCAACCACCTCAACTTTGCCTAGGGGAGCAAGGCTTCTTACCAGGAGAAGCCTCGGTGTGGTACATATGCTTTACGGCCAGGATATTTCATGGATTATACGTTTCGGGACCTCCTTCGTGCACCAAAATACCCTTTTCCTGTTTCCTCACTATCACTGTCGCTATTTACCTTCTGTCTAGTCGTTCGTTTCGGCGCCACCCTTTATACATACCCTTTTCCCCTTTTTTTATCAGTCGACTGCACATGTATTCCTCTCGCCAACACCGGGATTGAAATAACAAATAAGCATCCTGCATGGGTTAGACCGTTCAATCAGCAAAAAAAAAACTAGGGGAAACTCAACAGGAAACCCAGAAATAGCAGGAAGCATATATATGAAGCCCCGTCGCTACGTTTGTATTTGACTATTTCACGCGCAGTCTTCTTCTAGCTTTCCTTGTGGACAACAAGCCTTTGCACAACAAAGGTGGCCAACTACAAGTAAGATTTGATAGGATGACATGGGCTAGGGTCAGCAATAGGGATTATTCTACCCGTCATTTTTGTGCACCCCTCAGGGTGGAGAAACGCTCCTTTTTCTTTTTCCTTTTCCACCTCGGGATTTTCACAAAACCTTCTGTCTTTTACACACGTCTTACCTCTTTTCTCTTTCCAGGGGCGCCAACAGCACCAGGCCCTTTGTGCACGACTTTTTTTTTTTTAGTACACGAAAACCCATGAATGGGTAGGACACGGAACGGACACATAGATACCTAGGGAATGGCCCGCTCTTTGCGTTGTGTGCGCGATGATATTGGCAATGTTGCTTTTCCGCCCTCTTGTGTCGTGAAATGTGCAATGTGCAAGCTGCGAGCTGCGAGCTCGGGTAATAGCTACATGACCAGATACCAGGACATGTTTTCCTTGATCCTGTGGGTTGCACTGCTAGTTTGTTGACTCGTTCCAAGAGCATAAACGTGCGGTTTTTTCTGGACGTGGACAGTTCCTCGAGGTTCACCCACACACATCCACTCCCTCTCTCACCTCTTGTCCCACCCGCCGGGCCGCCCCATGCCCAGCAGATCGTGCGCCTCGCGGCGGCTCCACGGCCCGGTGGTGGTGCTGACCCCCGTTGGCTTTTCAATGGCCGCTTGCGCCGCCTCTCTTGCTGCCGATGGTGCTTCTCCTGGTGCTGCTGCCGATGGTGTCTTTGACAGCCTAGGGGCGGTAGCGACCCCTCTGGCTTCCTTGCCGGATGCTTTGGTGGTTGCTTTGGTGGTTGCGTTGTTGGCTGCTTTGGGTTCGCGACGCGGCGGTTGCGTCTCCGCCGCCTCGTCACCGTGTGCCTCTTGCTCCTGTCCTCCTGACGGTAGTGGTGGTGGCGGTGGCGCTGGCGCTGGCGGTCCAGAGAAGGTACTGCCGGCTCCCGGTCGACCTCTCAAGGCACCCCCTCTGGGCTCGCGCTGCCGCGGCGGCTGCTGCGCCTCGACCGCCGCCTTCCCGCGCGCCGCCGCCTCCTCCCTTGCTGCCACCGCCGTCGCCAGCTCAATGACGGGGCCGGCGGC